GCCTCCAACACTGGCAGCGGCAGAGACTGTAACTGAAGAAGAGTCTCCTTTGAAGATGGCTTCCTTGAAGGATGCCCGGGCTGTGGTTGAGAAGGGTGAGTGTGCAAACTGGGGCCGACTTCCTGATTTTACTCCGAAGACTGACAAGTTTGGGCTGGGTTTCACTGCAGAGGCTCAGAGGGCTGTACGTAAAGCAAGGATTGGAAGACCTCCCGTATTCATCACCAACCCATGAGTGAATGCTATTGAAGGCGATGCGGAGGAATCTGAATTTGACAGCTGGATCTACCCAACGACCGACGGTGGACTAAGCAACTGGACCGCTAAAGACTACATACCTGTTACTTTTGTTACTCAGTAATGAACTCCTTTGTTTTTGAATTTGTAACGAACAATAATTTGAAACTTTATGGCCCAGTGTTTTACCCGGGGCACCGTGGCTTCATTTGTGAGGGCTTATTACTTGTCATTTCCATATATCATTAATAAAACATTGGACGTTTTTCGCATTTCAAATCTTGTGCTCCCTTTTTTCTTTATATATTGCAAAACAAATATATTTACACACACTCACCCATACAGGTTTCAATCCACTCTGGATCTCACTGGTAACGACTCTGCTACTGCCAGTTATGACTTTGAAAATCTGATCAACTTAGCCGAAGACGAAGGTGAAGATGATTGCGAAGTGCCTGGTGAGCTCGCAAGACTGTTACTCCAGGAAGAGAGGGTCATTCAGCCACATGAAGAGCCAGTGGAAACGGTAAATCTGGGTACTGAGACAGACAAAAAGGAAGTCAAGATTGGTGCCAATCTGGAGCTCAGCGTGAAACAAAGGCTGATTCAGATGTTGCATGATTATGTGGAAATCTTTGCCTGGTCCTACGAAGACATGCCCGGGTTGGATACTGACATTGTGGTTCATCACCTGCCTACCAAAGAAGACTGCCCTCCGGTTAAACAAAAGGTCCACCGTATGCGTCCAGAGATGTCCGAGAAAATCAAAGCTGAGGTTATGAAACAATTTGATGCCGGGTTTCTAGCAGTGACTTCTTACCCTCAGTGGGTTGCCAACGTGGTTCCAGTGCCGAAGAAGGATGGTAAGGTCCGCATGTGTGTTGATTACAGGGATTTGAACAGGGCGAGCCCCAAGGATGACTTCCCTCTGCCTCACATCGACGTTCTGGTTGACAATACTGCTCAGCACAAGGTGTTCTCCTTCATGGACGGCTTTTCAGGTTATAATCAGATCAAGATGGCTCCTGAAGATATGGAAAAGACTACCTTTGTTACTCAGTGGGGCACCTTCTGCTACAAGGTCATGCCTTTTGGGTTGAAAAATGCTGGGGCAACCTACCAATGTGCCATGGTTGCTTTATTTCATGACATGATCCACCATGAGATTGAAGTATACGTCGATGATATGATTGCAAGGTCTCAAACTGAGGAGGAACACCTTGGCCATCTACAGAAGTTGTTTGACCGGTTAAAGTTGTACAAACTAAGGTTGAACCCGAACAAGTGCACCTTCGGGGTAAGATCTGGAAAGTTGCTAGGCTTTGTCGTGAGCGACAAAGGTATTCAAGTGGACCCTGCTAAGGTGAAAGCAATACAAGAGATGCCAGCTCCCAAGACAGAGAAAGAAGTCAGAGGCTTTCTAGGACGGCTGAATTACATTGCCCGGTTCATCTCACATCTAACTGCTACCTGTGAACCAATCTTCAAGCTACTGAAGAAAGATCAAGTAGTACGTTGGAACGATGAATGTCAGGCCGCTTTCGACAGAATCAAGGAGTATCTCCAAGAACCACCCATTCTTATGCCACCGGTTGAAGGGAAACCTCTAATACTATACTTGACAGTACTTGACAGCTTGATGGGGTGTGTGCTGGGGCAGCATGACGAGTCTGGCCGAAAAGAGCATGCCATTTATTACCTTAGCAAAAAGTTTACCGACTGTGAGACCCGATACTCACTGCTCGAGAAAACTTGTTGCGCTTTGGTATGGGCTGCTCGCCGGCTGAGACAGTATATGTTGACTCACACTACTCTGTTAATTTCAAAAATGGATCCAATCAAGTACATATTCGAAAAGCCTGCCTTGTCCGGAAGAATAGCAAGATGGAAAATGATCTTGACAGAATACGACATCCAGTACACGACTCAGAAAGCAATCAAGGGAAGTGTATTGGCAGACCATTTGGCACACCAGGCAGTGGACGATTACCAGTCAATGAACTTTGAATTTCCTGGCGAGAACATCATGGTAGTGACTGATTGTGAAGTACCTGGATTGGATGAAGGATCTGAGGAAGGATCCCGATGGTCTATGCACTTTGACGGAGCCTCCAACGCTTTGGGTAACGGTATCGGCACTGTGATCATATCTCCAAAAGGCACTCATACTCCACTTACTGCCCGGGTATGTTTCAACTACACCAACAACATGGCGGAGTATGAGGCATGCATCATGGGTCTTCAAGCTGCAATTGACCTAAGGATTAAGTTTCTGAGTGTCTTCGGAGATTCCGCTCTTGTGATCAATCAGATCAAAGGCGAGTGGGATATGAAACACCCAAACCTTATTCCTTACAAAGAATGTGTGTTGACATTGATCCCCCATTTCACGGAGATAACTTTTGAACACTTCCCAAGAGAGGAGAATCAGTTGGCGGACGCGCTGGCTACGATGTCTTCTATGTTCAAAGTCAAATGGGACAACGAGGCGCCCCAGATCATTATTTAGAAATTGGACGAACCTGCATATTGCTGTGATCTTGAGGCTGAGGTGGTAACTGAAAAACCTTGGTATCATGAAGTGAAGAGGTACCTGGAAGCTCAAGAATACCCCGAGGGTGCATCTGTCAATGACAAGAAGTTTCTGAGAAGGTTCGCAGCAAAGTTCTTCCTCAGCAACGACATTCTCTACAAGCGAAACCATGATTCAACCTTGCTGCGTTGTGTGGATAAGACTGAAGCAGCAAGAATCATGGCAGAGCTGCATGAAGGTACCTTCGGAACACATTCCAGTGGACACACCATGGCAAAGAAAATCCTTCGAGCAGGATATTTTTGGTCCACAATGGAAGCTGACTGTTACCAACATTCTCGAACATGTCATAAGTGCCAGATCTATGCTGATAAGGTGCATGTTCCTCCAGTCCCATTGAATGTCTTGACTGCACCTTGGCCTTTTGCAATGTGGGGAATTGATACGATCGGCGAGATCAAACCTACGGCATCCAACGGGCATCGGTTCATCTTGGTAGCGATTGATTACTTCACGAAGTGGGTTGAAGCAGCTTCCTACGCTACGGTAACCAAGAACGTCGTGGAACGGTTCATTCGACACAACCTGATCTGTCGATACGGTGTACCAGAGAGAATCATTACAGATAATGGTACCAATCTTAATAACAAGATGATCACTGAGCTCTGCGAGCAATTCAAAATACAGCACCACAACTCTTCTCCTTATCGGCCGAAGATGAATGGGGCTGTAGAAGCAGCTAATAAGAATATCAAAAAGATTGTGCAGAAGATGACAGTGACCTATAAAGATTGGCACGAGATGTTACCGTTTGCTCTTCATGGGTACCGTACCTCAGCAAGGACGTCAACTGTGGCAACTCCTTTTTCCTTAGTCTATGGCATGGAGGCAGTCTTGCCGATTGAAGTCCATATACCCTCTCTCCGGATAATGAAGGATGCAGGCTTGAGCGAAGATGACTGGATCCAGACTCGACTTGATCAGTTAAACCTAATTGACGAAAGGAGACTCACTGCTATTTGTCATGGTCAAACGTATCAAAAATGAATGATCAGGGCATTTAACAAGAAAGTCAGTCCACAAGAGTATCAAGTTGGGGACCTGGTAATCAAGCGCATCATTCTTCCTCAAAGTGATCCCAGGGGCAAATGGACCCCTACGTACGAAGGGCCATTTGTGGTTAAACATGTCTTCTCAGGAGTGTAGCGGTGAAAATCGGAGATCAAGCTATTAATTAACTTGACTCACAAAAAGCAAGAGTCGCCACCGCGCTTTATTATTTCCAAGGGAAAAGGGAAAAGAGCGAAACAAAACCCTAAAGTATGCAATGTAAAATAATACTTAAAAGTAATAAAAATACAATGCGTTTTTGAAAGAGATCGAGAGTTCGGGGGTTGGTTATACAATGGGAAGGTATTAGCACCCAATGCATCTGCGGTACTCCGCAGGAACCTTTTGAAATATCTGTTTTTTATTAAAAGTTATTTGTTTGATTAAAAATGACTTGTTTGGCTAAAGTGGTTTGTTTGGACTTGTTTTGAAGATACGACGACCTAGTGTCGAGGTTTTGGCTTAAAAAAAGTGTGAGCTTTAAAATTGAGTCTCTTGGGAAAATTATCTTAAGTTTAGCAAAATAGCAAACAAGCAAAAAAAATGAATGAAGGGGTTCGCGCAATCGTATGACATATGTTCGGTGACATGAAGTCAACAAATTTAATTCTTTCCCTTGGAGTTTAGACGGACGAACAAAATAAAATGGATGTCAAAATATGAACATTCAAAAATTCACAAGGAAATAAATCGAAAGACCCCAAAAAATTAAAATGACAAAGATATTTAAAAGAGAATGGAACCAATTATCTAAATTAAAATTCTAAGATTACTTACTAAAATAATTCTGAACTAATTACGAATTCTAAGGTTATAAAGAATAATTCTAAAATTACTAAATAAGATATAAACTAAATTAAAATTCTAAAGTTATTAAGTTAAATCTAAAATAACTAAAAATAATTCTAAAGTTACTAAAATAATCCTAAATGAACTTAAAATTACTAAAATAATTCTAAACTAAAATTATTAAAATTTGTCTAATTGAAACTACATGTTTCTTTCTAAGAAACTAACTAACCTAATTTAAATAAATTTAACTAAGGAAATAAAACTAAAATAAATAGCATGGGGGTATCAAACCGAAAAAAAGGGGTGTAATGATAGGAATTCGGAATGACTAGAATAAGGGAAAGGCCCATATGAAGGAGGAGGTTGAATAATATTTGGATTTTTGATAGAGAATTACTTTTGAGAGAGCTAAGTATTGACCTGAATTGTGAGATGAGGTATACGGAGAAGGCGCAGCATAATCAGATCTGGATCCTTTTCCCTTTTTCTTTTTCTGTACAAAGCACACAGCGATACCAAGAAGGCTGAGGACAATTAAACTAACTACAACGCCAATAGTAACAGCAGCTCCGGTTTCGGTTTCGCAGTGGCTTTAGCAGCAATTTTGGTCGGGGCGGTTTTCTTGGGTTTGGTTTGAGCGGGTGAGGTGAGATGAAGGGAGATTGATGCTTGCGGAGATCATTGGGAGATGGAGGTTATGCTTGTTATGGTGAATCGGACAGAGATGTATTTGTTCTGTTTGGAAGAGGAATTGAAGGGCGGAAGATGGATGTTTGTTGTATCGGTTGCAGATCTGGAACGAAATCAGAGGAGATCTCCAGCTGGGTGCGATTTTGGAGTCATTGCGCGTGCATCATACATTGGTAACATCTTGCCATTTTTAACAGTTCCATATTGCTCAAACCATGATGGAGCCATTTGAGGATTTATTGTAAGATTATCATTTCTAAGAGAAGTTACCTTGTTGCTATTAGCAGCATTTTTCTGACCATATTCAACCACCTCCTCAGAAGATGCATTAGCTTCTCGTCCATCACCTGGTACTGCAAAATTATTACCCAAAACATCTTCAACTGCGTAATTGTATCCGTATGACCGTTGTCCATGATTGGAATCAAACTGTCTATCCCCTACATCATCTGATACTTTGAATTTGTTGACATCTTGATCAATAGGATTGAACTCCATATTTTTCCTGGACTGAATTTGATTTAGTGTAGAGAAATTATGATGCAAGAAAGTGTTTGGTTTTAAAGACCGGCCAAAATCCTCAATATCTCTAGGAGTCGCTGCTTGGCTAGATTGAGATGCATCAGGTATGCTTTTCACAATATGTTCCTTCACACATGAAGCATTTGCAGTCCCGTCAGCAACATCAACAACTTCAAGCAACGTCTGTTTCCCAGAGCGGTCGTTAGCATCATTCTCGGAATCTTCAATAAGTGGCTTTTATGGCCTTGATGCAGTTTCAAAGATACTATTTGGTTGGGGATGGGATGGAGCCTTCAAAGCATTAGGCTGTTGCATGCCAGAAACATTTGTCCATACATTGTGTAAAACTTTTGACAGGGTACCATGTAGAGATGGATTAAATTTTACAGAAGGATGAGGAGCTGTGGAAGAGAGAGAAGACAAATAGAAAGGTTAGAGAGTAGATTACTGTTTGTTTTTTGTTTTGTGATGTCCTATTCGGTTTTCAAAGTCTGAGTTTTATAGTCAGGAAAGAAAGAAAAAAAATGAATTTTGGGGGGAAATGGTTGTGAAAGTTGGTTTTGTTATAACTGTTTTATTACTTTTTGGTGCAGGTATTTGTATGGCTATTTTTGTTGTTATTTCTTGGACTGATATGCAGGGTTTGGAGCAGCATACAGCATCAGTTTTTTGGCATTATTTGTGCAGAATTTTTGACTTGTTTTTGGACTGATATGCAGAGTTTGGAGCAACATACAGCATGGATGATTTTGGGCATATTGCAGTAGCAGAATTTGGAGTGTAGTATCATTGGAAAGGTCCCTTTCTATTTTGTATTTTTATGATTTTACCATGTAACAATACATGTATCTTCCCCCTCTTTTCTTTCAAAATATTGGACTGATTTTGCTTCCATATGTTTTGTTGTTTTAATGGACAAATTTGGATGAAAATTGAAGCAAGGTTTGGATGAGTTTTGGGAGCTTGAAGTCATTTATAAATAGGACTTGGTAGTTTTGAATTGATGTATTTGATCATTTGATGATTGAATTTGTAACTTTTATTATGACATTGAGTGTTTGAGTGAAATGACAACTTTTGGTGAAACATGGTTTAGACTTTGTAACTTGTTATATTTGAATTCAAAATTTCCATAATTCCAAATTGTAAGCATTATGAATTGGATGGAACTTTTGTCCCTTGTATTCGAACCTCTCTTGAAAAACATTTGCAACTTTGAATGGAATTTGAACTTGACATTTGAATTTTGAACATTGTCTTGAAAGTTGAATGGTTTGAATAATGGATGATGAATAGTTAGACCTTGAGACTTTGTATTTTAGGCACTTGAAACCTACACTTTGAAGAGTGGTGAATGATATTGTAATGGAATTACTTTGTAATTTTCTTTCTCTATTTTTGACAAAAACAAACAAATAATAACATAATAGTAACAATAATATAAGAAAAAGAAAAAAACGTATTAGTAACAATAAATAAAATAAGAATAATAAAATGCAACAATGATAATAACAATAATGAGAACAAAATAAAAATAATTAGTAACAATAAAAGATGAAATAATAAAATGCAATAAAGATACTAATAATAATAACAATAATGAGAAAAAGAGAAAATAGTTAGTAATATCTAAAAGAAATAGAAATAGATTAAAATAAGAAAAAAAATAATAATAAGACAGATTTTTGAACTAAAACAAATTCATTGGAAATATGATAGAAAATGCAAATGATAAACTATTTTAATTCTTTTTTTATTTAAATAGAAATTAGAATGATGAATAAAAACAAGAAAGTATGCGAAATGATCGATTTTTCAAATTAACGACAAAATATGCACCAGTCGAAAAAAGTGAAGGGGCGAAAAATGGGGTGCGACAGTTGTGCCTTGATGAATCAGTCTTCGAGAATCCATAACCAACCATACTTTTGGCTTGGGAGACTCAAAACCTTAATTGAGGCGCGACACCTGATGCTCAGACCTGTCTCTGCACATGACACAAAAGAAAACATGAACATACACCTTTGTATGCGATTAGAAATTAGTGATACATATGCTAAAAATGTTCAAAACACTTGACAATCTTCGCATAGTCAAAGCTCGAAGGTGAGACGTTAAAACCGACCGTATTTCGTGACCTTGACTTATGCAAAAATAAAAATGGGATCTTAGGTCAAAAATTGGGGTACAACAAGGAGGAGCCATGATTCTAACCACCATGGATGGTGACGACCTTCCTCACCCCGCCAATGCAGACATAGTAAAAAGATACTACACATGAATTAAAAGACCCGCTAGGTTGACACACCTAGGCAAAAATAAGGGCTTCCCGGAGAACCAAAAGGGTTCGGGAAAAAATAAGGGATGAAATGAAAAAAAATTGTACACCCGGCAAGTCGAAAACCTGAAAAGGCGGCTTGGGCAAAAATGGGTATCCCGGTGGACTGAAAACCCGAAAGGGCGGTCCAGGCAAAAGTTAGGGATTAAAGCGTAATACTATGTCTCATTGAATCACCTTGCATCCAGAATTCGGTATCAACTATCAGGTTCAGACGGCATCGATCAGTCAGCTTCATCTTCAACTAAGCAGCCAAGTGATGAGACGCTCGAAGATATAAAGGCGATAGCAGAGTTGGAACCCAGTGGGATTATCTTTTTCACATAGTTGTTTTGTTTTCCTTTTCACAATATTGTATAAACTCTATGTTATTCGGCGGTGTTCTCTTACTAGGACGTCAGCCTCTTGTACATAAACGCCTATTTTCAGGCAAATTCCAAAAATCAATACAAATTCACTTTTCAGATAAATTGCCAATTATTTTCCTTTTTTTGTTTTGTTTTGCAAAGAACGTCCAATGTTCATTTTTTGATATATGCATTTGACACTAATTGCTAACTCGTAAACATTTGCATGCGAAACAAAGGACTAATTACAGGTGACATCAGAAACAGGGGCAATAATGAGTTGTCTAAGCGATCTAGTTGCTCTGTCCACCAAGGTACCAAGGCAAGTTTAGTTGAAGAATGTAACCCAGATACCTTCACTCCCCGCCGAGTAAGATAAGACTCAGCAATACTCTCCAAAGCAGTTGGTCTCCAATCAACCCTAACAAGGCACAGTATCCCTAGCAAGTCAGCAACACTCTCCCCGAGCAGAGTTAGTCTACTGTCAACCTTAAGGAAGTTGGATTATCCCCAGAAGATCTCAACATTCCCCAGCGGAGCATATAGACATTCCTCTACAAGCATCCCCGGCAATCTTGATCTAAGATTGTTCCCCGGCGGAATACCGGACATCCGGTGGAGCCATTTCCCAGTGCAGTCCAAAGTCCCCCCAGGAAAGTTGAATCAATCTCCCCAGTAGGAATCTTATCCCCAGTAGATTCTGGAAGCTTATTCCCTGCAGAGTATGAAAGCTTCTCCCCGGCTTTATTCAAAGATTATTTCCCACCAGAGCTTATAACTGGGTTATCCTCAGCTAATTGCCACAGAAAGATCGCCCTCGGCAAAGTTCTTCCTATCCCCCAGCGGAGTTCATCAATTCCAACAGAGCTTATCAACGGAATCCCCAGCGGAGTTATTATCAAAACCTCAGCGAAGTATCTCTTCCCACAGAGTAATTCCCCGCAGAGTAATCTCTCCAACAAGTTTATTCCCCATCGGAGTCATCTTCTCCTACCGGTTTATTCTTGCCACCATCATCCCCGGCGGAAGCGAAGAACTCTACTCTTCGGCATCAGCCCAGGATTCAACAAACTCCTGGCATCCGTCAAGGATTTATTTCCCTAGACAAAAAATACATTCATAAACATCACATCTTCATACATTATAGCATGCACATACGCATCATGAACATACAATCTCATTTATTTTGAGAACATCACACATTTCATACATCATGACAATTGCATACAACTAATGTTTTGCCTTTTCAGGAAAAAGGTCAATACAAAGATGATTACTATCAACTGTCGCAATTCCAGACTCGATTCCTGTATCCAGCCAGGGCACGTCTGAAGAGTTTGAAGATTCGATTCCTGTATCCAGCCGGGGTATATCTGTTGATGACTAATTCCGGACTCGATTCCTGTATCCAGCCAGGGCACGTCTGAAGAGTTTGAAGATTCGATTCCTGTATCCAGCCAGAGCATATCTGTTGACGACTAATTCCGGACTCGATTCCTGTATCCAGCCAGGGCACGTCTGAAGAGTTTGAAGATTCGATTCCTGTATCCAGCCAGGGTATATCTGTTGATGACTAATTCCGGACTCGATTCCTGTATCCAGCCAGGGCACGTCTGAAGAGTTTGAAGATTCAATTCCTGTATCCAGCCAGGGTATATCTGTTGATGACTAATTCTGGACTCGATTCCTGTATCCAGCCAGGGCACGTCTGAAGAGTTCGAAGATTCGATTCCTGTATCCAGCCAGGGCATATCTGTTGATGACTAATTCCGGACTCGATTCCTGTATCCAGCCAGGGCACGTCTGAAGAGTTTGAAGATTCGATTCCTGTATCCAGCCAGGGCATATCTGTTGACGACTAATTCCAGACTCGATTCCTGTATCCAGCCAGGGCACGTCTGAAGAGTTTGAAGATTCGATTCCTGTATCCAGCCAGGGCATATCTGTTGACGACTAATTCCAGATCTGATTCCTGTATCTAGCCAGGGCACATCTATGAGTAACTGATTGTAGACTCGATACCTGTATCCAGCCAGGGCATATCTACATGGAGAGTTTAGAGATTCGATACCTGTATCCAGCCAGGGCATATCTACATAAAGAGTTTGAAGATCAACCCCTGTAACAGGCCAGGTAATTATTTTTCTTTCTCAGGTACGCAAGTTCTCGCTAAGGAATCTCTTACGCGATCGACACCTAGATGGCATCTATAAGCCCATCCACATACAAACAGTCTCCCGATGGCATCTATAAGCCCATCCTCTTACCCACCATCTCTCCAAATGGCATCT